AAGAAGAGGTAATGAATAGAGTTATTGTTATTGAGACCAATGTATTAATCATTGCTTATATTTGCAGCGGTTATTGGTTTGTGAGTAAAGGCACAGCAGTTGTCGGCTCTGCCAGAGATAATCAGGACTACGAGCTCAATGTGAACGGTATCACCGCTGCCAACAAATTGTCGTACAGCTGTTCCAACCTCAAGATTGACGGCTTAGACGGTATGATTTGCAGTACTTATTAAATGAATTGATATTTATTTTTATAAATTGAATCACCCTGGACGGTTTAGATGTGGAGGACATCAGTATAGTATTCAACAAATTTCAATTACAGCCGTTTGAGAATCCGGTGAATCCTAAGAAATATATATTCACAGACAGTGATGCCTGTGAGGTGTTTATGACTGTCCCTCTTTGGATGGGTTTACTGACCATAAGTCTGTTCTTAATAATCCTATTGTTGGGACTCTATATGCTATGGCGAGTCAGTCCGCCCGACCGTTTCGAGAACCCGAAGGGAAAGGCATTGATTTTGACGACTGTTGACGAATAAGATTTAGTCATTATTTCATTGTATAGATTATGAATGCATTCATTCAACATAACAACTATGTATTAATAATCCATTTAGTGTGACGTCAACTAATCTTAATCTCAATAATCCTAAACTTATAAATCTCTAAATAGTGTGTAATTATAATTGATCTCAAGAATTGTTTTGAATGTATTGTTTATGTAAATTTAGTTTTATATATAAACGGCAATAATATATGATTTAATATAACTTATAATAAAATTTATGCTCATTTTGTAGAAACAATTTTATTTTCTGAACCATCGCTCAGACCCCAGGTGTCCGTCGCTGTGCGCCTCCACAGGTCAGCCCATCCAAGTGGAGGCCCAACCCCTGCACTACCAGACCCTCCAAGAGTGCAGTCCTCTCTATAGTCCTCTAATGATGAGTGAATTAATTGAATGCAAATAATTGTGAAATGCATTGAAAGTCAGTGTTTGCGTGAAGTGTGGGACGAATGGGACGTACTTTATGTGCAAATAATTGCGTCCAATGTTTACGAGAGACTGACTGACAGTGAGATTGAATGATGTCTTCTTCAGGAGGTTATGATATCTCGAGGTTTGTGGCACTGGACCC